TGGTGTGTTGCCGCTGCTCACCTCAACAGAAGGCGGATATAGTCAGATTACTCAAGAAACATACCGGCAAGAGGACATGCGCAATAGGTAAGAGTTTAACCAGTGGTGTAAGAGGTTGAAAGATTAGTGAGACGTGAACTCGGTAGCCCCTCTGTCTCTTTGAAATTTCATACTTTCTTTTGTAAATTGCCTTTTTTTCTGCAACAACTGGAGATGTCGTAGACGATCTCTTTCAACTGCAGAGAACGGTCTTTCCTCTGCTTTAACGGGAAGGGGCTTCACTCTTTTTCTACAGTAGCTCTCCTGGTACAAATCTTTTAATTTTTATTTTCTTAGGCGACGGCGGAAATGACGTCAGTATGATCCAGGCAGCGGATGCTGGAGTGGGCATCGAAGGAAAAGTGAGCGAAATATTAATGATATTACTTCAAAATAAAAGTACTTCAACATAAAAAGTCGAAGAATTTGTTTTGTATGGCAAGAGGGCAAACATTGCACTGGGAGAGGCTGAAAATGTTTGAGTTATCTCCACCAAATCATGAGAAAATAACATGGAGTTCTAATGATTATTGATAATTCTTATTTTTTGTTGTTTGGACCAATCGTTATTTTGATGCCCACAGGAAGGCCGACAAGCCTCTCTTGCAGCGGATTTCTCCATTTCACAGTTTAGATATGTTGGAAGATTGTTGGTGTGGCATGGTCGAAACAGGTAATCAAAAAGGTTTTGTTTTCTCTACAGCATGTGTTGAAACTGGAGCTGCATCAGTTTTGCTTTGCCTCTCTGTGTAGTTTGTTTGGAATACCAAATTCAATTTCTCAAACAATCCAGAACTGGTCACTAACAATTTCCCGGGTTTTAGGCATTTTACTTTGTTTCCTTTATTTTCTATTTGTTTCTGTTTGTTTGTTTTTGTTTGTTCGTTTGTTTGTTTGTTTGTTTTTTTGACCTGTTTTTTTCACTTGTAATTTTCCCTGGCTATCTCGAATATTTGCGCTGACTGACCGTTTTAATCTTTTGATCGGCGGTGTGCAGTTTGAATTTTACCTCTATCAATCCAGGAGTGGCCTAAATCTCCAGTCGTTGTGAAAATGTACGTAATAATTATTTTTTATCAGTCATGATTTTGTTTTCCTTTGCTTCATAGTTACAAGCGATCGGCAGCTCTTAGTCAATTTGTGATTCACAGAGGCCTGATCATCTCTGTGATGCAGGTAAACGATTACTCAGTGACATTAAGACAAATCAAGACACGATTTCCTTGTATCGAAAACTTCCGCCTACTCAGCTTTGCTTTAAGAGGTTCTCAGCTCAGTTAAACCTGTTCTCCGTTGTAAGCTTTGACGTAATATCTACAGACAACTTTCTCAGACTTCACGCGGACAGTGAGGCATGAGAGGTCATCTAGGGACTAGGTTGCCATTCAAAATTTGCCTTTTGGTATAGTGACACTGCATTTAGTTTCGTCATCAGAGTTCTCTCATTTTATATCTTGGTAGTAAGAAAAAGCGTGTGACGGAGAACTCTAATCGACTTCATGACGGAATCTTCTCGTTAAGACTTCTTGTTTCGTCGAGAGCTGATGTTTTAAATAGTATTTTAACTTTGTTTTTTCCTTTTTATCTTGCAGGCAGTTTTTTCTAGTGTGTTTTATTTTGCGTCAGTCTCGCTTTTCTCGGGATATTTAATGATTGGGTAAGATTTACTACAATAAGGCCTGCTATGCATGGAAACTGCATATTTTTTAAAGTGTGAGCATTGTTTACATTGCTGGTTGAAATTGTTAGGCGTACAATAATTAGTGGGAGATGTTGAACTGTGGATCGTTTGGTCCAGGGTGGGGTAATTTTGCCGTGCGACTCTCTCCACCTTGGGGTATAAATGGATAATGGAAACTACTCGGTCAAGCTGACTGAATACTTGGTTACTTATCCTATACAAGGAAGTAGCATTGCTTTAAGTCGCTCCATGCTACCTATACCTAAGAAAGCTGTAGCAACTATGCGATCCACTCTCCTCAACTTTTACGTTGCATTAAGTTAAGATGAGTCTCCGCCGGCTAATCACCTCTTACTTCAACAGGTATGGTACCATATATACCATGTTTCCAGTATTTTCTCTTGTGTTGGACGAAGATGTCCCCTCTGACATCGCCTTAATTTACCCCGAGCTATACAAGGATTTAGCAAAGGTTGGTAAAACTATTGGATTACAGTCGCTGCTTTTCGTTTAGGGTTTCTTTGATGTCGTCGTCTCGGATATTGTTAAGGCAACTAACAATTTTTATTTTTCGCCTTGGTATCCATAGGGAAGGTCACTCTCGTACAAGACTTTCTTTATTTGGGTTCTGATCAGTATATACCAAGGTAAGTGTTGCTCACTCACGAATGGAGTCTCCTCTATAACATAAGGATGGTCATTCTTATTTCTTGACAAAAGTAGAACAGACGCACATTTTATAACCTGTGAAATTAGGTTAGGAAGGATGGTCGGCAAAGGTATAACTTCTCAGTACTGTAGTAGTTTTGTCCTTTTGGGTTACAAAAAGGATGTTTTTCGGACCAGTCATTCCGTTCATTCGCAAAATTCGTTTCGTTACTAACTAAATCAGCGATACTTTACATGATCTCAAATCCACATTTGTTACTTGTCCATCCAAAACATCTTAACTACCTACCTACTACCTTTTAGAGCAAGATAATTACGCCACTGACTCCTCAAACAAGCGGGAGCCTTCCAAATATTACTGAAAAATTTTGAAAGGATAAAAAATGGATCGAACTTCAAATTTGTGCCGGAGCACACAATTACAAAACATTGCGTGACTACTAAGAGGACGCAACATTTACTTGTATACGTGTTACTGGCGAAGTGAAAGTGTTTCGCCGATGCTATTCCTCTTGAAGCGCGCCTGATGACCTCGCTTTGTTTTCTCTTTAGGTGGCATCATTATGTTCGGCGGCATTTTTCTGTTCGATCAGGAATTCATCCATGTCGTGACTATTACCTTCACTGCACTGATTCTCACCGAGCTGCTGATGGTGGCGCTTACAATTCGAACGTGGCATTGGCTCATGTTGTTAGCTGAAGTTTTCAGTCTTGCAATTTACGTTGGGACGCTTGCGATATTTAGACGCACCTTTGGTAAGTTTTGTATCCCTCTTTTTGTACGCAAAAGCTCCTTTTAATGGGAAACGCGGTGAGTTTTACGGGGAGGGCCTCAGCGACTCTCATGCTTATTTGGGATTGGGTAAGTACATTTTCTCTCTCCACTTAGGAGATATATTTTAGCCAGGACAAAGAGATAAAAAAAAAGTGAGTAGACAACCTGCTACAGACCACTGGGCCATCACATCTTGGGAGATTCTTGCTGTTTCTTGCTTGATAAACCGGAAGTTATGTGATGTTTGAAACCATTTAGACCAAAATCTCATCGATGTTCATGAGTTCTTATGTTATCTTGTATTGCCTGGTTCTCACTCGTCCGTGAGCTCATTGTATAATTTATTTGGTAAATTACTTCACGTTCTTTATTTTTTCCTTTCAGACGAAAAATTTCTCATATCAACTGAATTTTTGTGGAAAGTGGTGGTCATCACTTTGGTTAGTTGTTTACCGCTGTACATTTTGAAGTATCTCAGGCGCAAGTACGCCCCACCTAGCTATTCAAAGCTGACGAACTAACAATGGTGACCGATTTGCAGCTCCTATAGAGATTTGACTGTCCCACAACTGAGTTAAAATTCGCAAGATGGACTAAAGGATTCGGTAATAAATTCAAATGACGTTTATTGGGCTATAGAGCAGTATAGACATAAGGATATATTTTTGTAAAGTAAACAATTAGTCACCGGATAACGCCGGTCGACCTCAACTAGGTCAAAGTAAGATGGATGAAAAGGGGAAGGCCAAGTCTTTGTTATTTTACGAACCAGTGAGACCCCACCCCACCTCGGTTGGGTGGGAAGGGGTACACATGGGATTTTCATACATGGCCGCATACGCTACAATGTCGTTTGGTTGTTGCATGAAAGATTCATGTGCAAGTTTTTTTTGTTAGTGTCTTTCAAACTTGACCTTAATTTCGCAAGCTCGACATGTGCAAATCGGTAGGCGTCTCCTCCATTATTTTCCCTTTTGGTTGTCTTACCAATATTTGTGGTTTTCTCGACGCAGTTATTTCTGCTCGTCCAAATTGTGTGACGTTCCGCCCTCGAGGGGATGCTTTTCATTGGGGTAGGGGAGGTAACGCAGGTGATCCAGGATTTTCTCCTTTTTTTCCATTTTCTGCTTCATCCTCGTCCCTTGTACACTCAATTTAAAACTCAAGCTGTCACAAAACTTATTTGTATATTTTTGTTGTAAATTTCACTTAGTAATACGAAGGTAAATAATCGAAATATTGTTGCGAAGTTATTTAAGACTTGTGTATCACCTTTCAAAGGCAATCGATGTTAGATAGGAACGAAATTTTGGAATCTCTGAATTGAAAGGATTAGCTTGGTTCATAAGAAAAGGCCAATGGTAAAATTTGGTGGACTATTTCGTCGATGTATCTCTTAATTTGATCTTAGTAACATTCCGAAAAAAGCACAATAAAACACTTGGATAAATAACAGATCAACACGTTGTATTTAAATTTTTATTGGCATCATAACGGAATAAAGTAAATTGAAACCTCAGTAAATTAAAGATATTATATATTCATCCTGTGGAAAACTGAAAAAAAATCTCTCTTTAGTGTAATAATTTTCCCAGTATAACGAATCCTCATGAGTATCAAGGAGTTATCATAACCCTTGAAACAATTAGTGTTCAGTCTTCAAAAGCTTTATAATGGCCTATCCTTGAGTCAAACCCTTTTAGTCAGTAACCCCACCCCTTCCAGCACCACAAAAAAAGGTGGTCCTCTCAAATGAAACACCACTAACTTGTCTTCCAAACGTAACAACAAATTCAATTGATATGCGAGTCTTTTTCTCTGGAGATATTTCTCTCTTAAACGCAACGTTCCTTATGACTATGTTCAATTGTCTTCTTGCAAAGATTCAGTTTTCTGTAAAAATACTATTTAAGATGTGCTCGTTTCAGTTCCATCTTGGAGGTTGTTCGTGTTCATAGGAGATCCAAACCCCTTTCTCTGTATCTGCTTATGAAGGCTGTCCCGTTCTCCTCTTCTTCCCTACGGACAGGAAAGAAAATAATTATAAGGAGTAATATGGGAAAGCTGCATGTAGTTCTACAACACTCGGAAGCGCCAGAGCAGTGAAGGGCGACAAGTTCGCAATCGGAGTGTGAAGCACAATTGATTGCTGAAATACAACGCCCAAGCAACCACTGCTCTGTTTTAAGGAAGCGTTGCGCCATACGAAAATGTGGAAGGAGTGGTGGATCCGCCGGGATGGAGCACTAACTGAAAGAATCTGCAATGACGCACACTGCTAACCATAGTTACCCAAAAAGGCCATCTTGACCTACTGCCACTGGTTTGATTAATACTTAACGTGGATTATTTCTAAGTAGTTCAGAACAAAAAGGTTCGATACTCCAAAATTCTTTGTCTACTCACATCGCCCAAGACGATCTCCCTGACCCAGTCTTCTGTCCTGTCCAGACTGATATTAACAGGGCGTTGCCTAGCTACTGGTGAAAGGGCACAACTGAGTATAAATTCTCTTGATAAGCCTTCTTTAGTGGGAGCCTGTTCCGCACTGACACCAGCTTGCTCCGTGTGATAGCTTTGACCTGTTGTGTTCTCTCCTCGCTCTAGTGTCGCAAAAAGTTCCTCTACCAATTGATGCTTCTCTTCGCTGCTGTCCTTTTGGCTGGGGCGTGCTACGTCAGGATCATCGGTATACCTCAACTGTACAACATTCGAAAACGAATTTAAAGGGAAAAAAAACCAAACAACTCACACGCAAAAATTAATGGAGGATGAACGATCTTACAGATAAGCTCTTGACATGCACGTAAGAAGGAATCACACCAAACGAACGCCCTTTAACTAGGGCGCCTGATTAATGTGATATTTTCTACTGATCCGAAAAGAGAAAGTCCATTAAATTACTTATTTCAACTTTAATAACTTTAATTACGTGTATTTAACCACCCATTTCAAGAACCACAAGCTCATAATGCTACGATCGTCTAAACAAGGCTCCATTGTCCAACGTATGCTGGGTGCAAATCTACAGGTTTACAAAGGCCTTGAGTGTCTCTCAAATCTAACTCTTTTTATTACCTGAATTTTCTTTCCCTTTGTGGGTCTGTTTTGAACGTGCCATAAAAATCCACACATATATACATATTGATAACTGTTCAGTCTTGTGGTTCGCAAACAAAAAGTATATAATGGGGCAAGGAAGGTATATTATGCAGTAAGGACACTGAATAGTGACAGAAACTCGTTCCTATTCCATATCAACCTAAGTAAGTAATGTAAGGACTAACTATCTTACCATAACCTTGATCTTGGCCAGCTGTGCTTTTGCATGATTCACACAGTTTCGACGACCAGATATAAACAGTTGAGTGTCTAAACAAAGACAGAAAAAAGACTGTTACCTAAGATGTACAGGTAAAGAGAGTTTAAAAGGCATACCTGGACGACATACCAACAGTATACTTAGAACAGGGAAAAGGGTTCACTGGTGGTCACCCCAAGAAAACCATAACAACAACAACAACAAGAATAATGTATATAACAATTCCACATAAGCTGAGAACTAACAGAAACTGTGCTACAAAATTTGATGGAGTATAATCTCCCTCAAATGGGGATTTTTTTTTGTTGTGCTAGCAAAGTTGTTGTACACCGAAAACCTAACGTGCTTCTAAAGAAGGCCAGAGAATGGGAGGAGGGGGGGAGATTTTCCACACCCCATCTTTGTGTGATAGAAACACTTAAGTAAGGCCCAGCACTAATGGACAACATTTTTTTGTAAAAAGTCCAGTAGATGATTATATTATTTAGAGAATAGCATACAGCTGTAACTACCCCTGCCATGAAAAGAGATTACATGCAGGATAGGAGTGAGGTAGAAGGTTGGACCCTGAGCCAGAATATTCCCATACAGATCTGAGCTCAGTTTTTTTCCCAGAACATACATGTACACTTTGTACACAAATGAACTGCATGCTTGTGCTACAGATGTTCTCAACTTACCATTAATCATCGTAACACTTGCCAAAGAAAAAAATGCCAATCTATCAGCCAGGATGCTGCATCCATCTGACTGGAGGTGCTGAAGAACCACATCCGACAGTGGAACAAGTGCACCCTGATTCAAGATCAAATCAAGTAGTGTTGTGAATTACTATGTATCTACAGTGTATCAGTTTTTGTTTTGCAATGGCTAAAAAAATCACCAAAATAGTAAACCTATCCCAAGAATAAAAAGAAACTGTGATCAGTTGCTTTCCTGAAACACGTAAAGAAGTACTCACAAACTGCTCTTGGAGGGCAGCAATGACACTGTAAACTTTCTTTTTTGCAACCTAATCGGGTAATAAAAATAAAATTTCAATGGTTAGTTCAAAGGCATCTGCAGATAATGATACAAAGTTGTACCAAAGCATTCATTTAAAGAATTGTAAACAGTTTGAATATCATCACACCATGTACATGTGGCTGCAAAGCTGAATTACTAAAATATACGTTAAGAAAATAATTCAGTTATAAACTTGTGCTGCATCAAAACCTAAATGCATAGATTTTAATCAAGATGGATAGTAGAAAAACATTTTTGTTACAAACTTTAACCCTTTAAACTCTGAGAGTGATAAGCATCAAATTTCTCTTCACAATATCCCCCCTGAATCACACATTAAGGTCATGAGAATAAAGGAAATGATCACCAACAAAAGAAGCTTTTGATTGGTCATTAAATTCTCCTTGTCAGCACCTTAGGAAATGTATAAAGAACAGCATGGAGAATATATACACTGATTTTAGGTTGTAATGGGTTAGGGTGGTGTATTCATATACCTTGCACTGCTGAGGGTGACCAGTTATTGTAAGAACACACTTTTCTCTGTTGGCGTGTATCTTACAGCCAGTATCAGCCTGTGTAAAAGAGTAATTGAACAGAGTGATACAATGTAAGTGTAAGAGATTTCATGGATCTTGTTGGGTTGATTCCTGTGTATTCCTTTCCATTACATTTTAGTGTAAACCTGCAACTGTAAGAAACTCAGCCAGTTAATTGCTGATGCTTTCTTTTGTTTCTCTTTTCTTTTTTTTTTTGTTTTCTTGTTCACCTATGTTTCTGTTTCTGATTTAACATTTTTTTAAATACTTACATGTGTAGTACACATAAATGATACATGAAATAACCAACATCAAAATACCTGAATTTCTCTCAGCTGCCACCCTTTTAGACCTGCAAAAAGGAACACAATGTGGTCCTTCAAACTTCTTTTCCCGAAAGTCAACCACTAAAACTCTTTCAAGGCCAACATAAATTGCACATTTCAATGTCCAAGCATTTTAAAAATACCACATCACTATTCTAGTAAGTACAGATAAAAATATTTAAAGGAGACTAGAATCACTGAGTACATGGTACACATACAAATACTGCTAATCTAAAGGTTGCTACTTAATCATACATTTCCCTCATACATGTACAGTTGATTGCAGAATACTGACCCTCAGTCTCTTCTTGTGTCATTTGAACCTCAACTGTCTCTTCCTTGAAATGCTCAGTTCTGAAAAGGTTACATGCAGTAAATAAAGGAATAACAGCAAAATCAGGTCCATCATTCTGCAAATGAACTGTGATCACAGAGTTACTACCCATGTTGTATAAAGTTGAGCTCACATCTACAGTGTAAATGAGCAATAATATCCCCAACATCTTGCAGGAACTTATAGTACAATATACACTGAATGAGTCAAGATGTCCAAACACCTACATGAACTCAATTACTGACAACATACAGCTACTTTTACATCAGGAAACAATTTGAGTGAATGTGTTGAAATATCATTATGAAAACTGGTAAGGTATCATAAACAAAAGGAGAAAGCAAGCCAACATTTAGATTGCCAGTAAATGTACAGTGTATTCTGTATTAGTAAACTAGAGTGTAACCACAGTGTACCCACCTTCCTGCTATGTCAACCTGTTCATCTGGTTTTGGAAGCCCAAAACCTCTCTTATTTCCTAAAAAATAAAGCACAATATACACATAAGTGCAATACATGTATGCAATCACAAAGATGGTCCACACTGACAAGCAATTAAAGATTGGTAAATATGTAAGATATTTGCCAGATGCTAGCTCCAGAAATTCCCATGTCCATCACTGTAAACAACATACAGAAGCTGCAGATGAGTATAATAAGTGACGTCTCATTATTTTAAATTACATGTAAGAACCAACAAACCTTTTTCATGAGAGTTTTGCCTTTCAAGTTGTAGATCACTCAGACTATGTCTCCTTGTTTGCTGACTAGCTGTAGAGGTAGGATCTTGTTTGGACTCATCCAAACTCATGGATTTTCTATCTCGCCAGTTCTTCTGATCAGAACCACCGCTCCAAAAGTCGATAAACTTTTCAGGCTTTTGTTCCCTGTAGTTTATCCCAGACAAATTATTGATAAAGCTGTTCTGTGGTTCTCTAAAGGCCACTAGTGGACTTTCCCTCCAATTTCCCACAACTTCTGGTGATTTGTTTAGAATTGGCATTTTACTTTCTCTCCAATTCCTACCTGGGTCTTCTAAATCTACCAATGGCTCTTCCCTCCAGTTTTCTGTAACTACATGATGGCCATGGATATCCTCATCTGATTTGCCAATGTTAGATAGTTTTCTCTCTCTCCAATTTTCACAATAAGCATTAATGGTGTTATTGTTTTGTGCTTCTTTCAAATTAACCAATGTTCTCTCTTTCCAGGTGTCAGCAACTGTGTAATGACCATTACCATCATCCTGAGACTTGTCTGTTTTAGCTGGTTTCCTTTCCCTCCAATTCTCAGTGACTGGACTGTTGTCATTAGCATTTTCCAAGGATTTTTCAGAGCTTAACACTGTTTTTTCTTCCCAATTTTCTCCATCCCTTTCAGTGGTTTTATTCTTTGGATCACCAATTTTTTTCTCACTAGGGACAATGTTTAAATGCTGCTCTTCATGACTTGCTGCAATTGATTTGAGTGGACAAGTATTAATAACTAACCCAGAAGACAGCTCCTTGACCTCAGAAGAGTTTATCGAATTTGATAAAACCTTTCCAATGGTGGTCACATCATCATTAATCATGTTTTCTTCTGTATCTGACAGTGACAAAGATGCCATTCTGGTGACTAAACATTCAGAATCTGAGGTTAGTGAGGAATCACTCTTGAATGAATGTCTCGGCTCTCTAAATTCCTCCCAATGTAAGGCAGGATGAACTTCACGTATTTTCTTCTCAAAGCCCACTTTGTCATTCGTAGCAAAAACATCATCACTACCATCACTTGAGTTGGAAGAAGAGGATGCTTCTTGAAGAATATTGTTAGTGAGAGAAACATGGGGTGCAAGTTTATTCAAAGATACAGGCTGTTTACATGTAGCCAATTTCTCACCATCACCAAAAGGATATAATTTGAGATAAGCCTCCTTGTCTTTCTCCTTGAGAATTGCATCCTGAGCTAATGAAAGCTCTTGCTGTATGTTCCCAAATGACTTTCGTAATTCAGACTCATTAATTCTCAGCACTGCAACAGGCTTGATTCTTCTAAGATCAGCACCCTCTGCCTTAGCATCGACCATTCTTGATTCATTTCTGGAGGAAATTGCTTCAGTTTGGACATGTGTATCTCTGCATGACAAATCCTTCTGATGTTGGTCAAAAAACTGCACAGAGAATGCAACAACTACTCAGGCAAAACATAACAAGGTTTGAATGACATGGTCACGTGTGCATTCACTTAATTTGCATACGTTATTGACCAAGCAAGACAGCTGGAGGATGGTCAAGTCCTTTTTTAGCATTTTCATGGACCAAGATGAGGTCAAGGTCCATTAAAATGTAAAAAAAGAACAATGCTAATATCTAGTCATCTTGACTGAACAAGTGTAGTCCCAGGCAGGCAATACACTATGTTGCAATAGGGCAGGACACCATCCTTAGAAAAATAGATGCAATTACAAGAAGGATCAAAACTAAGGTCTGTACCACACATTCAACTGTTACTGACTTTTAATGCCATTGATTTTAAGGAGGCACTGATAAAGAATTTCTGAACTTCCTTTGTTTCATGCAAAAGCCAATTGTTTGATGCATTCCTTTAATATTCTTAACCCTTTCACTCCCAAGATCTAATTAGTAATTCTCCTTACCAGTTACCATACTATTCTTATGATGTTAGCTCAGAGAATTTGGTATTGGATCAACTAATAATCCCATGATTGATATTCTTCTCTATTCTCATCACCTGCCTGCTTGATATTGTATTGATATTGTAAGGAGAAATTCTGTCTTGGTCACTTGTGGGAGTGAAAGGTTTAACTACGTTGTTGTTTTGCAAAAGCTGCCAATAAACTAGATATATTGCCGCAAATAAAACGAAAACATTCTTATCATAGTCATATTCTTTAGTAGTCCAATGGCACAACATCTTTTAATAGGAATGCAACACTGTTAATGAACACCCTGCTTGGAAGTGCCTGACTGCAACTGCAACAGCTTCAAGTTATACATGACTAAAATAAAATCTAGATGTACCTTTAAATATGCTCCCTTGTAATAATTCTTTGTTGCCTCTGACACCTTCCAACCAGATGACCGTAATTCCTGAATCTCAAGTAGCCGAAACCTAGAGTACTTTGAAATCTCTCCAGAAATTAACTTGTTACTGATCATCTGGAATGTTCTTTCTGTATTTACAGGACACTTCTCTTCAAGAAACTTCCCACAGGCTTTAAGGATGTCACACTGGGCATCACAAAATGCTTCACTAACCCATAAGTTTGGAGCAAGAGGTTTGCTGTATGGCCACAAAGCCCTAGCAATTTCTTCCAGGTAGCTCTGAACAGCCTCTAAGTGTGAAGAAGGGATATCAGTTAACCTGCTCAGATTGTGCAGGAGGGAAACAACATTAAACTGAAGTGTGTTTGGAGTGCCAAGATGAGTTAGTACTTTCAATAATTCCTCACAAGCCATTTCCAACTCAGTAAGCAATGAAGAACCATTTTGCACATTGACAAGGTCATAAAAGAGCTGTGCTATAGTTGGTTCTTTGTATCTGTCAACCTTGCAACAGGAGCAAAACACATTGAATGTTTCATTGGTGTTCTCAGCGTCACCCAACAAGGTCTGACAAGTCCTCATAACTTCCTCTGAATTCTCACCACCATTTGCCAAGGAATAAAGCTGTTTTTCAAGTTCAACCAGCCTAGGTTTATTTCTACAAAAATCAACCCTTTCCACGACTGGACTACAGATAGAATTTTGAGAATTTCTTCTTAAAAGACATTTCTGATCCTCAGAGGGTCTTCTTGTCTGTGAAGCTAAAGCCATTCCTGCTACTTTTATCTCCCACTACATATAAATCTGTGGATTCAAAATACATTATTTTAACACGAATTGCTAATTCCAACTGCACATACATGCATGTGTAACAAAATTTCAATCTGAAAAATTTTCCCTTCAACAGTGAATGTTGATTCACACTACTGGGGAAAGGGGGGCTTCCTGTGACATCTTAATTCCTTAAAAGACCTCCGAAGAATTCAAGCAACCTTGTTCTTATCTTGATCTGTAGGGTATTCATAAGAAACTGTACAAGCGTGGCATGAAGTTCAAAGTTACCCAATTCTGAGATGCAAAAAACACTGAACTTGAGTTTTGACACTTACAAATGGGAAAGATTTCTGCAGAACCCCTACTAACTGTACTCTAACACAAAGGCTTTGTCCCAAAGGAAATGTCCCCATTGTTTTCGTTTACCCAAACCACACGGATAGGAAGTGCGGGATTCTGCGGAAATTTTTCCAAAGGAAAAAAACACAATTTCGAGAGACTGGAAATGAGATCTAAAAATTTGTTTCGATAGAAAAAAAAGATTACCTCCCTCAATCTCTAGGCACTTAGTATAGAGACAATTTTGAGAGTGTTAAACGCTGACAGATTACAACTACAAGTGATCCGTTTACGGTTGATATTTATAGAAACCCGAAAAAGACAAACGACAAGAAACGATCATGAAACTTCGCTAGCTGACATAACTTCAAGCATATTAAAAACCTCCGCTAGCAATTCAAGCAAATAATTTAATTTGTTACAGGATACTAAGCAGAAAAAGAGGGTTGCATAGGATTACACGTATTATGTTTTTTATAAGCTGTCGTTATATTTCCTGAGAAGCTTTATTGTGTCCACAATCCGTTTTTGTTTACCATGTTGATTTTTGAAAGGATATATAAGCAATTATATCGTTAACCTTGACCTAAAGTGTGGTTGAAAAGGGATTTCTTTCCGTTCTTTCATAAAACCAACCTTCCTGGCCGAAGAATAAGCTTGCGACATCTGTTAACTTCAAATGGAAATTTCCCGTGGAAAAGGTGTGAATTTTTGCCATGGGACATCAAACGAAAGTTCCGACCGAGTCCATTCAAACTTAGCGAATAAAAGATACTATGTTTTAAAGTATGAATTTTAGAAAGGATCAACAACGTCCCTTAAAGGTAGGAGGTACGGAGAATTCAGAAACCCGACGCACCGAGGTTTTAAAGGCGCAGAAACTGTCTCCATCTGTTCCGCGTGGTTTCCCAACGAGAGACATCCGGCAGTTAAAATACAAATCAACAAAGGCAAAATATTTGACAGCATCTAAATAAGTTATTATACCTTAAACTGTAGCTACTGGCTAAATTCATTGTACCTTTAAGTGAAAAGTCGTAACCTGCCGGGACTACCAGTAACCAAAATAAACACAGCTTGCTGAGCACGACACAAATGGTTCAGTGAACGTCACACGAGACCAACTTTCCCGGGAAAGCTCATCTGACAATCCCGTCACGCTTTGCGTGAGTTGAGACGGACACGTATGACTACAAAGAAGGGAGCCCGAGGATTTGAGTTCTCCCCCACCCCCCCTCTACTTTATTAAAATTTTGAACACATGAATACAAATCGTTCGATTAGGTTTGACTGACTTTCAATCTCGACTGACATAGTTTGTATCTTATCATAAAGTTAGACATGTCTATTTGACCACTTTCGTCAGGGAGCCCATCATGACTTAAACAATGAAGGTTGTTTAGACACGAGACTTCTATTATATGTTTCGATTTGCTTTTTAATGACGTGACAAAAAGAAAAAACATGTTTGGAGGGCTCAGTTAACTTTGTTCTCTATATTAAATTCTTGCCGGTTCGATTTCCCCGTTCTCTCGATTCCTTTGTTAGTCAAGTTAACTTGCTGAAGAACTTCATCAGGGTCTCCAGGTTCCTCTCGTGTAACTGGTTATCGAGCTTGCATGACTTGTCTCATGAGGATTTTCCTAATTTTCTGGACTTAATTTATGCCCGTTCAAGCCTCGTCACAGCTTTGATAACATTATTTTTCCTTGCTAATTTAAATATTTCAGTACTATTAACCTGTTTCTTACCCAGGGATTTTTTTTTTGTTCTGTTTGTCAGTAGTCATGGGGGTTTTCGATTTTAGCATTTAATTTATGGAATCTTAACCAACTCATTGATAATCGAGACTTCGTTTTAAGCAGGTAAAATTTTGAAAAGTATGAATGAAGAATATTTGGAAACTGAAACACAGCGTCAATGACTAAAAATAGACAGCTGAAACCAGATATACCTACACATGAAAGATTATAATGATAACAAAATAGTATATTTGGCTTTTTTTAAACTTTTTTTATTTACCAAGGAGCGAGGGCTTACAGACACTCATGAATGCTAGGGCAAACATCTCCAAATTTTTGTATGTGGGTGTTATATTAATAGTGACTCATGGCACGTTTTATCTCTTCGACGTCGATTTTTCGTGTATGGTGATGACGCCATCTGCAAAAGCTGATACGTCCGCATCTTAAGGAATGATATCCACTTATAAGTAGAGGCGTTTGACTCGTTCTAAACTCAGCTATCTCGAAGGAAACCTGACAAAGACCACATAACAAAAAACAACCCAGTCTAACCCGTTGTGGTAAGTAGGTCCTGTGATTACATATGTTTATTATAAAAACGCCGTTTGTGGCTAATCGACTTTTCCAGCTAAAAGCGAAGTTTTCTGTAGATTCCGTGTAATTTCGGCCACATTAATGGACACATATGGAGAATACACATGTCTTAGAGCAACACTTTTTGATTCTTTGTCTTTCAAAAGAGTTCCAGCGCACCCGCCTAATAATTTTTCCCCGATAAAAGTTCGCTTCCAAAAAACATATTACATACGTAGAAAATGAATAAAACTGACTAACTAACTCTAGGGACTATTTTAAACATTTTATTCCTTTTGCACATTCGTTTGAAAACATAGCTGTCAGCTGTCTGGCTCTCCATCGAAGCATTCGTAGGTGGTCTCGAAAACTTAGAACAAATTTTTATCTTTAAAATCGCCTCCTTATTCCCCTTACGAATAAGGAATGCCTCATTTAATAAATCAGTTAGTTAGTTGATTGATCATCCGCTTTCATGCAAATAAGACACAACCTATGTACAGAAATCAACTCGACTTTGCTCCGCAGAAGGGCTATCGCTCGAGTACTGAAGCTTTTTCAAAATTTCCTAAACAGCGCTTTATCGACATTTATCAACGTCTAAATGATCATCATCTAGATGACTCTTTTTCTGATAGTTTTCAGTCAACAGTGCGAAACAATTTACTTTTCAGCAGTCACATCACAAAACAAAAAACAAGCCTTTAGCCAGTTGGAAAAAGTAAAGATGGCCGAGCAGCACTCGGTATGTTCTGTGTTTGTTATTTTTGTTGTTGTTGTTTTTTAAATTAACGAACGCGTTTGTAAGTTTTCCCGTGACAAGTGACACTAGGTAAACGAAATATTCTCCAGTACCCGTCGATTTCATTATATTTACAGTTCATTTCTGTATTATAGTCATCAAGGACTATGACCAGTCCATTCTTACGGATAAATTTAAAGATTTCTTTTTTTTTAAATGATTTTCCACAGAATTCCTCCCAAGGCTTCGATGAAACATCGAAAATATGGATTGAACCATTCTCTACTCTAATCAATAGTATGTTTCCAGTAGAATACATCTATGCAGATTGGTTTGGATGGCAAGCATACAATCAAGCACAGCGGGCAGATTCAGAATCTCTCATAAGTTTATCTGAGCAAACTTTAGTAGCTGGAAGTCTAACAGAAGGCTATTGCATTCCCCAGTTCTTTCTCCGAAAAAATGGCATTGACCATGGTAAAGCCTTTGATTTGGATGATGTGGAAGAACATTGGCGGTGTGATTTAGACTTGATGACAACAAATGAATCCTTTGTTGAAATCGATGAAAAGACACGCATACCGATATTCACTGTTGAACATCTAGAAGATGACCCAAAGTTTGTCAAGCTTCGGTTGACAAAAGAGTGGAAAGAACATCGTCCACGTTATAAGAATGTTTCCTACCTTCATCAGTCATATTTGCTTCCTTCAGCAGATCATCCAATGCACGGCACAGAGTCGACTTCTTTTCATGGCAAGAAGAGCAAGTGGTCATACACGCTTCATGGTCCTGTGCGTAAACTTAAGTCCATTGGATTTACCAGTTTCGAAAGAGATAAAACTGATGTGTTCAGGTATCCAACCGCATGGCCCGGACCTGCCATGGAATGGTTGATTCGACCACGCCCAAGTGGTTGGCCCTCGGTCGACCTTATACAAGAAATATTTGACTCCGGTTGTCATTTGGCTCCTTGTGGCAGAGGGAGGCGCATTCACGAGCCTGTGGAAATGCTTAAGTATTTCCAAAACCCGGAGCTCTATGATGGTGGGTCTACTGCACAAGCTTCGTGGTCCGTAACTAAACATGACATAAAGATCATGGACAACACAGAATGGAAAACATCCTTCTCAATAGCCGAAAATAAGCTCGGTGCGAGTGTATCGCCCGTTCAGCGACATGTAATTGTTCTGTTAAAAATGATCAAGAAATTTTACTTTCCAAAGGTGGTATCCACGTATTGCCTGAAAACTATCATGTTCTGGGAATGCCAGAATAGACCGAGGGAGTTTTGGAAAGAAAATAACTCTGCTAAATGCATTCTGGTTATGTTGGATCGCCTCCAAGAGTGCTTAGAGGCTAATTCTTTGCCACACTTCTTCATTCCACGGAGCAACCTTTTGCAGTATGAAGATCCTACCAAACTTAAAGAAGCTGCTGCCATTGTGTCCGATGTAAAACGAAACATTTTTTCAAAGACAACGAGTTTATTGAAAAGGCTCCAGTCACTGAGTTATATGTCACACATATACCTTAGAGGTGTCGGTGCCCAACTCGATAACCATCTGCTAAAAATGCAAGACAAGAATCTCTCAGAA